CAAGCACGAGGACCAGAAGCCAATTTGCCAACGGTGGCAGAATGGAGACACAGAAAGGACCCGGGCTGGCTTCATTAGTCGGCTGGAGCCATTGAGATCTTTCCTCCAGACTCCTCAAAAGTTTTTTTGAGATGTGTCCAAGCCTCTGTTAGGTGGTCTACCACACATATAGGTAAAAGTATTCCTGAGAAACCCTCCCAAAGCTAGCTTCCACTGCTGAGTCTGACCACTCACAGTTCCCTGGGTCCGGCCTACCCTCCCAGTATCCCTCCTGTCCCTAATGACTTCCCACCTCTGGATCTTCCTACATACCCACCCATACCCCCCAGCCCTAAAATGCACGTGCAAAATCCACCTCCTTTTCTCATCACCTTGCCATTACCTTCACAGGTCTGGGGTGGAGGGCTGTGCTTCTGCCGTCAGTGTGCCTGAACACAGCACTCAAAACACACTGAGAAAACTGATAAATCAGTGAACAAGTGACCTGTATCTCTTTAAATTAGCATTTAAATATTATTAAGGAATCTTAAAGAATACTTTTGTGAGCATTTCCTTATTAGTTCCTGCAGTTTGGGATTCACACAGATGAATCCTTGTCCCAGGGCTAATTTTGTATGTGGTACAGGATAAATTGCTCCCAGGGGGTCCAAGTGCAGCACAGACACCAGCCAAGATCGCCATGTCAGGGCACACGAAGAAAATGGGACTTTATGAGAACATGTATCACATGTGGCTGTGGGGGAGATTTAATGCTAATTCACTTAAAGTGCCTAGGACAGTGCCTGGCACCCAATTCTTATTTGATAACCACTATCTGCTTTATTATTTTTATAAAAATTTTTTTTTAACATTTATTTATTTTTGAGACAGAGAGAGACAGAGCATGAACAGGGGAGGGGCAGAGAGAGGGAGACACAGAATCTGAAACAGGCTCCAGGCTCTGAGCTGTCAGCACAGAGCCCGACGCGGGGCTCGAACTCACGGACAGTGAGATCATGACCTGAGCCGAAGTCGGACGCTTAACTGACCGAGCCACCCAGGCACCCCTATCTGCTTTATTATTAACACAGAAACAGCTGCCAGAGGTGGGATGTAAGTGGCCAAGTCAAGGGGGGGCTATGGAGCAGTGAGCACTTACCCACTAGGAATTTTCTAAGAAACTGGTGACCCTGCCCTGATTTCACAAGGCTTCTGGTTAAAGCCGTGTGGTACGACCTAACCATAAACTCCAGTCATGTGCCTGCTGAGGCCAGACTCTAGAGGGCCTGACAGAAAATGTCAGGGTGATGGGATGTGTTACCTCTTTTGGCCATCAGCTAAATCCCTCATGAAAAAGACATGCTTTACTCTAAGACAGCCTGGTTACAAAGACAGAGGGAAGGAAACAGTTCTCTCCCACAGGCTCCTTCTGCTTGTGGTCAGCAATCCAAGAAGGCAGAGAGTCAGAAAATCATGCCCTTTGCTGGGTCAGAAAAGTCAAATTTAGCAGCAAATGAAGTAGGAAGATTAAAAGTATCATATAAGATCAGAGTGGGACATGGGGAAACCATGGACACCAGACATCTCCCGGTATCTATATATACCCTACCGTACAGGGGGCCCAAGTAGACAGCAACCCCTACTGTGAGGCGACATCCGTTGGAATGCAACCTGAAGATAAGAAAAGTTTCAAAATGTCTCTTGTTCTCCTAAGGCAGGGCATTCCCCAACTTGCTGAAGTGAGGGCTGTAAACCAGTTTAAAACACTTACATAGGGGATACCACACAATTAATATACAGATGAGAAAAATGAGGCAAATGGACAGAAGTAAATTGGCCTCACAGCTAATAAATGGTGGAGTCAAGATGCAAATCCAGGGAGGCTGGCTTTAGAGTTCGTGCCCTTGACCACTGCACTATCCTGCCTCTCAGTTCAGAACGCAGACGAAGTGTAGTTCAGTGTCCCCCACTGTATAAAGAGAAAAACGCAGCCCCCACACAGACGTGCCTATGGTAACAGAACCAGGACAAGAACCCAAGGGGTGTGTGGGCACAGGGGGAAGGAGTTTGTGGCAGAAAAAAAAGAAATGCTCCCCAAAGCGAACGAAACACTCTAAAATTTTATCCCCTTACATCAGAATGAGAAGTTCAAATGTGAAAAAAGTGCCAACCACTAGAAATACGATTTTACATATATAAGCGATTCACCTTTTCTGAATATCAAGTGTAATGGGTTTATCCACTGATAAGATTACACAAAAATTCTGGGATTTTTTTTTTATATTAAGTAAAAAGGTTCAGTAAGAGATATTGAGTTGACCTTTCTCTTGACTTGAAAGTATAAACATTAATTAAGTGTTTTATAGCATGTGCAACCCTTGTAGAAGCAAAATGCTCTTTAATTATCAAGTTTCTCATCCTGAAAAGGTTGGTGAAAATATCACAGCATTTACCAGAACACAAGAAAAAAAAATGTATAAAGTGTTAACTATCAGAAGTGTTCTGTATCAGGGAAAGGTATTACATATTAGGTAGTACGTATCAGACAATGAATTTATTGACATGAATGTCTAGAAAGCCCCCCCAACTCTTGTAATAAAAGCCTGAAGTGAAACCCTACCCATAAAATAAAGGCCTCTGAGACACCAGAGGGAACTCGCACTGTTACGAGAGATATTTATGCCGATGATTAAACTGAAATCGAATTCTGCTTCCCTCTACATTTCACTTACTCTGAGATGTTAAGAAGAAACTTCTCTAAACCGAAAAACGCACATCCTTTTGTACATCTGAGGCAATAAAGCTTCTGAAGTGTTGTTCTAAGAGACTAAATCAAATTTTCCTAAATAGGCCTCAAGCAAAAGTCTCTGTGATGGGAAACAGGGCTAGAAAATTTCTACAGTCGTGCACGAGCAGTGTTAATTCAACTTTCCAGACGTTACACATCTTACGTGCACACAAATAAAACCAAGTTTCATGAGAAAATACCCTCCTATAGGCAACAGACACTGATGCTTTTCTATTCTTTTCTTTAGAAACAAGTCCTAATTGATTGCAACCTACCACGTGGGTTAGCCAACCCGTCAGCGGTCCCTTCATGCACCATGGTGTGTAAAACACTGGTTTATACTGAAGTCCTACCAAGACCTGAGGGCATTTGCCCTGGAAGACAACAGTCACAATAAGAAATGTGAAATGCTTGCAAGTTTCTGCGAGAAATCTACTGAGAAACTGCTTGGCATCTCAACAGGGCTGGTAAAGGAGAGAGAAGGACGTGTGCATTGAACCTGCCTCTGATGAGCTAATAATCATGAGGGCTGTTACTGCTGCTCACCGTTTCTGCTACAGGAGGGGTAATAAAAGGGGTCAGACACACACTTCTTGCTTTGAAGCGACCCCCTGGGCGTGTCTACAGTTTGGCTGCGGATTGCAGGCAAATCTCTCCCCAGAGAAAAATGGGAATTCACAACCATTCAGACAGGTGGAAGAAGAACTTTCCCTCGAAGAGACCAGGTAGATAAACCTTGACCACGGCCGACACTGTCCTGGACGAGGAAACAGGCACAGGCTGACCATCTCTCCAACTGCCTCTGCGGTGTCTTCACACTCCCCTGCCTTGGCTTATCGTTGGAAGGAAAAAGTGAGCTCAGAAAACAAAGACATAATGATAATGCCTACAATTATAATTATTATAAATATAATATTTATATGTTTACATTTAATAATAATAATTACTAGTATTATTATTGGCAAGCAGAAGAAACGTTACCCCCCATCCCTGGCCAAAATCTTAAACAAATTCCAATGTGCAAAATCAAGGTGCTGTTGCCCTGGGGACGCAGTGGTGCACAGCACACCCCACCCTCCTCCGTCTCACCCACCGGGCCCCATGACTCCCTGGAAAAGCAGCCACACTATCATAACTGGGCATCAGGATCCCGACCACAGGCAACAACCGTCTCACTGTCTCGACTGCTCTCTCTCCGGTCTGCGCTCGCTCCCACCGCTCCCCGCCCGAACACAGAACTCCCTAAAATGTCAGCCTGCCACGCGCCACCAAGAACCCAGGTGAAGCAACGCTTCTCAAACTGTCACGTGACATCTGACTCCCTTCCCTCTACCACACTGATGGATTGTCAGAAATAAAAGACCATCAGCCAAGCCAGCGGGGTCCTCACTTCTCACCGTCGACCGCACCTCATTATAGAACACTCTGGTCAAGCTAACCAACAAAACTCTTCTGAAAGCCACTCCGCCAGAAAATATGATTCTAAGGAAGTGATCAGACCATTGGTAAGTTCTACGTTACCATGAAAGTATGAAACTGTATTCCAATAAAGCTGAAGCTGAATTATTTCTTAATCCTTTCTTTCTAGCAAGAAATCTTGGAAGTGCCCAGACTTACCAACTGAAGCAACACAGAGGAAAAAGAGAGGCCTTCCTGTCACATCTGACTGGTCTTCACGGACTCGAGACACAATCAAGGGAAGGCGGTGTGCACGCATTCAGTGCTGTTGTGGCTGTGCCCACCCCAGGATGTGAGGTTTTGTGTGGCAATGATGAAATGAATCGTCTTTTTCTTTGAAGAGACTGGCATATGTGTTTTTAAATATGAGGGCTTTCTGAGAAACTGAAACCTTTAAAAGGGCTGAAATTAAGTAATTTCCCAGGCCCAATGGGAAAAATGCTGCTCCTACTACAATAAAACTGATGGGAGCTAAGGAGTGGGTGGAAATGAATTCCCCAGAAGTGATCTGGATGGGACACAAGTGGAAATATGGTTAAGTTTAATATGTAGCAAAGTAAAGAAACACTGAATCTTACTTACACTAAAAATAGAAGTTTTAAAGCCTCTTCCTACATGGGAATTCCTACTCCCCAATATATTTAATTACCTATGATCGCATTATTCCCGATATTTAAAAAACTCAACTCAAGGTATTCACGGTTTATTTTCATATAATTAACATGTTGACATAACTTTCAAAATGATGTCTAGTAAAAGAAAAAAAAAATAGTACCTTTTCCAATTCTCTTGGTATTCGCATACAAGTGTATACTCTTTCTCTTCTTTCTGTATACTTGGCCTCATTATGTTCAAGGAAGTACCCTCTTGTTAGTTCAGCACTGAGGAACCTCAACAATGAAAGCTCTACAGGAAAAGAAAATGACACAAAATAAAAAGAACAGTATTTATCAAGAAACTTATATGCTAGCTGGGGTCACAGATAATACATATATAAAACAAAAAGAGAATAAAAAAAATCTATAATTCTGTGCCCAGAACTGAACAGCTACATACAAACAATCAGTAAAAATTGTTGACAATTGCTACTCTGTGTGGTACAAAGGGAAAACGCCACAGACATATATAAGGAATGATTACTGTTAATCAGAATAGTTAGAAAAGTGTCTGTAAGAGCCCAGTCCTGGGTCTTATAGGTGATATAGGACCTGGACTGATGGACAGAAGGGAGGTAAAATGAATCGAGAGCAAGTATATATAAAATGAATACTATATACATATATATACGTATGTATGTATGTATACACACACATACACACATATATGACTCTACATATGCTATAAGGGAGTCAAGTCACCTAAACAGGCATTGATCCAGTGCAAAAACCATCCCCGGGGGAACTACACTGATATCAGTGCACCTTCTTCCTTCTTCTTCAGCCCTGGAGATCCTGCAAAAGTATCTAAATAATGCCGTTTCCCCCTAGGTGAAGGCTTACTAACAGGATAATAATCACAGCAAGTCATACAAAGTAGAACCTCAAGCAGATCAGAACGACTTCCCTTTCTTTGATTGGTCCACCTGTTCCCTCTGTTCCTCCAAAACAGATTCACCCAGAGTCATCCCGTCTCACGTGAAAGTAAGGCCAAAGGAGGTGGAGTCTTTCCCCTTGGCTGTGCCTGGAGACTTTGAGATGAGAAGCTAAGGTTCCAACCACTTCCAAAATGTTACGCTTCCCTGACAGCCCATCACCTCAATGACTTTTCAGTACCCCAACTCACATCACCTTCCTATTCTTACTCACCAGGAGGCCAAGCCCTCTGCCGGAAGTCAGGATAACAAAGATTTCAAATTGTCCTCTTTGCTCTGAACTGGCCCTTGTGGTCCTTTTACCACAGTATTGGTGTTCCCTCCAAAAAACAACGGAGAGGGAATGTGCATTTCATTTATGAGTACTGACTTATGGAACTGCATCTTTTGTGAGGGCTAGGATTCAAAGTCTGGAGGTATGGGGAAGAGTATATAGTCAAAAAACACCGCTGCAAAGCCCTGAGAAAACCCAGAAGCAGTGGGTCTTCCCAGTGGGCCTAAAACAACTTACTTCCTCCAGGACTGAACGGATGGCTAGTTCTCAGCATCAGGTCAATGGCCTGTTCACGTAAAGAAGTTATATTACACACAAAGATATACACATGCGTGCACACACTTCTGTAAATTCCAGATTCGTCATCTCTCTGGAGAGGTGGTGATACCATGCGAGGTATCTGGGGACTGAAACAGACGGAGAGAAAAGCAGACTTCCACCCACTCCAGCCCCATGCAGGGCAGGCCAAGTCATCAAACGCGCTGCGAGCCTCATGCTTTCAGTACATGTACAATGAGCCACGGACACCGGAGGTGAACAGTACTGTTCACACATTAACAGGTGTTCAGATCAGAAGGCCTTAGTATCACCAAATCCATGTAGAGCACAACTTTTGATTAGGGACTTTCCAATATGTTGTAGGCTGGGTACATCCAGAACAAGATCGGCTGTTTGAAGGGGAGAAAAAGAAAGCCTTCTGAAGCGCACACAAGAACAGTCAAACCAGTGAAAGACAAAATTTGTACTCTTACTCAGTTCAGTTTCCCAATGAGAGAGCAGAGGATGTTTTGATTAGCTGATACTTATCAATAAACATACCATAACTATCAATCTTTTTGTGTAAACACTGAGAAGCAGCAGGCCTCTCGGAAGGCAGGAGAGACTGAACTTAACACGACTTTCCTCCGACACCAGCGAGCCCCAGAGGTCACTGCCCCAGGATCCCTGTCCCCATTCCGCCTGCCACCCTCCACACAGGTTCTCCTCTCTATGATCGCCCGACTCTTCTGACCTGGGCATCTTTGGCAGCTGGTCCTCCTCCTGACCCGTACAGGTCTGCCGTTCCGCATTCTAGTCCCTGTGTCCTAACAAAGCACCAGCTACAGTAACAGTAATACAAGGCTGTATTCCCTGACATGCCCTCAATCACCCTCTCTTCGCTCCTTTATTCCCTATATATACTCTCCTTGCACAGTCTAAGGTTAAAACCACCACCTGAGTCCTAAAGTCACCACATCTGATTCCCAGCTGCCTCCTGGTCAACTGCACCTGGAACCACTCTCCGCCCACCCCCACCACTTTAATCTGCAAACAGAGCTCAGGATCTCCCCGCTCAGCTCAGCCCGCCCTCCCCTGCAGCCCTGACTCTAGTTCCCGCACCACCAGTGACACACTCGTACGTTACAAGCTGGGGGCCAGCCCTCCCCCCTCCAGGTCCCACTGATTCCTCCCCCGGAACATTTACGAACTTTCCCCTCTCTCTGTGTCACCTTCCTCTGGTCCTCCTCTCCCCCTCCAGGTCCCGCACAAGCTTCCTGACTGGCGCCCTCCCTCCAGTCTTGGCTCCCTTGGGTCCTAACCCCTGGCAGCCAGGCCCTGTGGGTAGCGTCCTACACCTCAGGAGTGGTGACACAGCACCCTTAGGATGTGGCCCCCAGCTGTTTTCAGTTGTGCCTCACACCCACCTCCCCTGAATCTCTGGGTCCCTAGTTACTAGGCTGCTTCTCCTTTCTCGAAAATGAGAGGTGGGCTGGCGAAGATTCCCTTCCAGTGTCCCACAGGCAAGTGCACAGAGGCACAGACGCCCTCTCCGTGGGGACGGCTCCAGGTCCCTGAACACAAGGCAGCCTCTCCCCCCTCAGTTCGCACCCTTTCCTGCGCTTCCCGTGCCACACTGTGCACTTTCTTGCCCAGGTCCCTCCCTCACCTTGCATCCCCCGTGCCGGACTGGACACACACGAGAGGTGCTCAGCAGGCGTGGATCGGAGGAGGAGGGGGCAAAATCACGGAAAGGAGGGTGGCAGAGAGAGGACAAAAACAGAATCAGAAACAGAAATGGCAAAGGCAGAGAACACCAGATTCTCAAGAAAACAGCCCGTGACTGGAAAGAATTTTCTGAGACTGGGAGGGTGAGCAGAGGAAGGGTGACAGGCCCCAGTACCCCGCTGGACGCAGCAGAACCAAAGATAAGGAGCCTCTATGCCGTGTGCGTGTCTAAGTGACTGTCAAAGGTCACCCACCAGGTATCGGAACCTCTACCCCAAAGGACGGGGTGCCATGGCGGCGGGCACAGCCAGCATGTGCCCTGGGGTCTGGGGTCTGGCAAGGATCTCGCATCATCCACAGCAGGGGCAGGGAGGGCAGCTGGGCAGCCTGCCGGCATGTCGGCCGTGGTAAGGAAATACAGAAACAGGTCATTACAGAATCTTACATTTAAAACAGCAAATTAAAAGATTGAGACAGCTGTACCCTGTTTACTGAGAAAATTATCCTCCGCAGTGGCGTCTTCCCTGATGACTGCAGATGACCGAGTTTTACCATAATAAGAGTTTTGTTCGGATCCGTGAGAAAAGCAGGGATTGGCAATCAGAAGAAGGGGGTTCCGGCATCCTCTCTATCACATGTTAGTCCTGTGACCCTGCTCAAGTCATAGATGTAGTTTCACAGAAGAGAAAACCGAGGCCTGCAGCAGTTTTAGAACATCTGCTACCTGCGTCGTCCACACAGGACGGCCAAGGGGGTCCAGTCAGGGTTTGCATGAAAGCACGTGACAGTGCGAAGCAGGACACGAGGTCTCGAGCTCCTTCTTACTGAAAGACCTGAGAGGTATTACTCAGTTCTGGTTTGGGGTTTCCTAGCATTTACTGATACTACTTCTGCAAGCTTGTTTTCATGGATAAAGGGCAATGCGGCAAATAAACATATTCAATGAACTATATAACCTAATAACTAATTTTTTGTAAACAAGTCATATAATATAAACCCAAAAGTGTCTTAACTATATTCTAAATATAAAACAGTGGTGTGTCAGGATTCTACTTCTAGAAATGCAGGAATTTTAAACACTAATTTAAATTCCACAATGCACTTAAAAAAAATCAAATGATAAAAACGTGTTTTTAGTGCACAGCTCTCAAAACTATGGAGCATAGTCTACTGTTGCATCCATTTTGCAGATGAAGAAACCAAGGGACAGAGAGGGTAAGGAGGTCTCCAAGATCACACAGGAAGCCAGAATTCAAAATCAAGCAGTCTATCGCCACAGCATGGGCTTTGGGGCACTAGATTATTCTGCCCATCATTGTCTCAAGTGTGTATGTACTTTCTGGAAAACTGGGAGCCGTCCATTCTCTCCTTTTTCTGTCTGCACATACAGCACCCTGGGTTCATCTCTACGATGTTACACTGTTAACTGGTCGGCTCCCTAACCAGCTCACGAGCTGTTTGGAAGCAGGCACCATGTACCCTGATCTTCCCGATGTCTATTCTAGCCCCTAGTGAGTCCTGAATCTAAAGGAAGTGTCCGCTTACAATTACTGATGGCCTAGGGAATGGTTTTTAAAGATGCGTTAAAGCAATATTAACAAAGGAACCAAGCTTCATGGGGTGAAATATTCTGGAAGCTTTGTCTTACCTTCTCCCTCACTGCTCATAAACTGGCTCGGCTTAAGGGATTAGGATCCTCCCGATCTGCCAAGAGGCAGTTTGCAAAGGTCTTGCGCACGGTACTTCATAAAATTGTCACAACAAGCCTGAGAGCTACAGAGAGCAGATAATGTTCATGTTTTACAAATGAAGAAACGGAGGGTCGCGGAAGTTAAGAGACTTGTCCAAAGTCACTGAAAGGGTAAGAGGCAAATAGGGAATAGAATCTAGATCTCTGACCTCCAAGTCCAACGTGCTCTCTCCCTTACGGCACAATTAGCATCCACCTGACAATCACACAAGATAACCTCACCCTAACCTGGCTTCAGCTGGCCAGAAAGAGCCCTTTGATTCCTACTGAAGGAGAAGAGGCTTATGCTGGCCTGCAGCTGGGCAATTAAGTTAGGCTCCTGGTTTTGTGAGTCTGCTCCCACCTTTCCGTAGCCATAGACATACTCAGCAGGATGCTCCCTAGTCTTCTGTTCCCAAGTATAGCTGCGTTTCACTGTTTTTCTTCTTGCTCTTTTAAATATTGTTCTCTAGCATTCTACAGATTTGCCTGAGCTTACTTGTCCCGTTCGAGTGGGCAGAGCTGCCTGGCTAATTCCTTAAGAAGCCTCTTGTTTCACCTGTGGGTGCCACCCCTCAAGAATTCTAAGTATACCTTAACTTTTTCCATACTGTGGTGGCATTTCATTCCTTCTTAGCCAACGTCGCTCTCGTTCGTTATGCCAAACATCTGTCTTTATAGTTTAAGAGCAAATTATTTTCCAAAATAAAATAATCCAAATGTTTATTTTCTGAACAGTGACTTAACTTTTTAGATGGCAACCAATTTTAGTTCATTTACCCAGTTCTCACCAAGAAGAAATGTCAGCATATAATATAAACAACCGCTTCTACATTGGAAAACTAAGTTTTGCCACTTGAAATATATGAATATTTCATATAAGGAGAATAATACCCATCATAAATGCAAATCAGTTCCTCCAGAGTATTTTTAATCAATATTCATCTTTCACCACAGAAATGTTCTGTGATCAGTATTTAAATTTTTTTTTATTACGTTTATTTACTTTTGAAAGGCAGAGACAGACAGTGTGAGTTGGGGAGGGGCAGAGAGAGAGGGAGACACAGAATGTGAAGCAAGCTCCAGGCTTTGAGCTGTCAGCACAGAGTTCGAGGTGGGGCTTGAACTCAGGAACTGCAAACCTCAAGATCATGACCTGAGCTTAACCGACTGAGACACCCAGGTGCCCCTGTGATCCAGTACTTAAAAAAAAAAAAAAAAAAAAATTAATGTTTATTTTTGAGCGAGAGAGAAAGACAGAGCACGAGCTGGGGAGGGGCAGAGACAAAGGGAGACACAGAATCCGAAGCAGGCTCCAGGCTCTGAACTGTCAGCACAGAGCCCAACGCAGGGCTCGAACTCACAGACCGTGAGATCATGACCTGAGCAGAAGTCAGACGCTTAATTGACTGAGCCACCCAGGCACCCCGATCCAGTATCTTAAATTGAGGAAAAGTATAGTATAAATTGCTCTCCTCATCCCTCAAAGATGACTATGTTTAATTATTTTCTGAGATAGCTTGTTTTAGAAATAAGAACCCAAGATACAAAAGTATTAATTAAAAGTAATGAGTAATCATAAATATATTTATATGTTAAGTAATATGTCCAAATATATCTTTCTTAAAATAGCACTGACCCCTAAAAAATTGGAAAGTAATATTGGTTAACTGTTAGGAAAATACTACAAAACATACAAATCTCCACAGTCTTAAATAATGTAAAACCGTAATAAACTTTTCCAAGGTTATGTGAAAATATTATAGGTAATTTTATTACACAAATACAGAGGTACATCTTTGTACAAGGCCAACTAGAAATCAATACAACAGCAATTCTGTCTTCCTAAGTCAAATAGTAAAAGTATCATTCCAGTTTTTAAGACCCTCATACTACTTATAAATAGTCTCATTTAGGAACGTTAAGAATAGGTAGAATTCTCATAAATTTATACATTTATAGATGGAAAATAGGGACACAGAGAAAAAAGGTCACAAGGTTACAGGGTTAAGGACTAAAAATGGGATCGGAATGTCATTAATCTGACAGTCAATACTACTGTCTTTCCAAAGACCTGTTTCATGCAAACATTCCTCAAACCCGGCCACAAATAAGCAGCCAGGGCTGCATTTTGGAGGGTAAACTAGGATGAAATTAAACAGTTTAAAAAGTGAGGATACTGAACTGGTCAAAGACCAAAATGAGTAATTTTTCACTGCTTGTTTAGTTGACACGTACTAGTTAAATAAAGCAAGTGAGAGTTTTAAAAGCAGAGGAGTAGCTTGCCAGAGTGAAGAAGCTAATTTTATCTTACCTATCTCAGGGTTGTGGTTACTCCAAGTTACTTCCCAGTTTTACAGTTATTAATACTTCCTTTTGTAAATGAGAAATTAATTGTCTAGAGTATAATATCAGAATAACCGCCTTTAATCATCCGTGGAAGATGAGGTCCAGTTAAATGAAAAGGTATTTATGTATTTTTTTAATGTTTCTTTATTTTGAGAGAGAGTGTGAGTGTGCACACACGAGAGTGGGGGAGGGGAGGGGCCGAGAGGGAGGGAGAGAATCCCAAGCAGGCCCCACGCTCAGCTGGGAGCCCAGTGTGGGACTCAGTATCACAACTGTGAGATCATGACCCGAGCCGGAATCAAGAGTCTGACACTTAACCCACTAAGCCACTCGGGCATCCCATGAAAAGATATTTTAATAAAAATAAATTATTTGTAATAATTTACACAAATAATAGGGCGTAAAAAATATGAACAGTTAAAACCTTTGTCCCACTCGAAGGCCTCTGTGGGAACTGTGAAAAGGAGTTCAGCTGGCCTTTCTGGGTTTAGGCTTTCTTCCTGCCTCTGCTCATTCCCTCATGGAGGGAAAGCAAGAGGTCTAAAATGGGCAAAAGAAAGAGAAAAACAGCAAAACAGATGGATAACAAGTGTGAGCTCTAGAAGTGGAGAGTCACCATTTGAACAAAAGGACAAACACGGGCCCCATGGCACTGTTGAAATCAGACACCATACTATTCAACCATAACCTTGCTTGAAGCTCTTCTGTTTTCCAGACAACACCCATCCCTGTGCATATTCCAGCACCTGCACTATATAGGTACTGTTTCCTCCTCACCAGTAGGTGAGGCTTATTTTACATCAAGTCTTCTACTGTTAAGTCGCCACGGGCACTAGAGCCAACTTAGGTACTGCAGATACTAAACTATTTAGTAGCGGAGTCATGACACAGAGCCAAAGAATTAGGCAAACGGTCTAAGCAAGCACAGAGTCTACAAAGCAATTCAACAGCCGAAGCCAGCCAAGAACAGATTGCCTAATTCTTAGTCCAAAGTTGACTTGCTGGACCTAGATTCCTAAATGGGAACATGGCTTATACACAAACTCTCCCACTTAGAACTTTTACAGATGAGAGCACCTGGGTGGCTCTGTCGGCTAAGCATCCGACTCTTGGTTTTGGCTCAGGTCATGATCTCGCAGTTCGTGAGATTGAACCCCACATTGGGCTCTGTGCTGATAATGGGGAGCCTGCTTGGGATTCTCTCTCTCCTCTCTCTCTCAAAGTAAATAAACTTAAAAAAAAAAACTTTTACGGATGAGTCAAGTGGGGAATGAGTACAAAACTATGGTAACATGTACTTATTATCTGAGCTTATATCAGAAAGGGCAATAGAAGTTGGTAGTATTTTTAAGAGTAGGAACAAAAGACAAAAGAGATGAATCTGCAGCTCCACACTATACCCGGAGTCTAAGAACAGTGACCACATAAGGCAATAGGGGAACATACGATGCACGTTTGAGAGACAGACAGAGAACAGGTATGGTGAGTGGCATATCCCTTGCACACTACATTAAGGTAGAAGTTCTAGGACCAAAGAAAAGTTTCAACCCACTGCCACACCACGTATAAGTCAATGAAGGCATTCAGAAAATCAAGTGATTCGAAGAGTTTGAAATGAGGGAAAAAAAAAAAAAAGCTTACACTTGATGTAGATACCTGTATGTGGTACAAATAACTGCTCATACACAAACTAATATTCGTATATATTTTCTAAAGATATGTGAACCAAGACAGGTATAAAGCAAAAATATTAACCTCAAACACTAGGTTTGGAATTATTTCACTTGGACGGGGAGAGTGTGGATAAGCACCTCGTCTGTGTATTCATTCAGGAAATCCTAGGCTGTTAGGACAGGCCAACAAACATTGTAAGAGCTCTAAATTCCTTGGGAAAATAATAAAAAGAATTTTGGGACTAACTGATGGTTGGGCCACCAGGACACTAAGATTGTGCCTTTCAAAAGGCAAAACAAAGATTGCCCTCCACTGGGGAGGAGGACTAGAGGATCAGAGGCAGAATCAGAATTAAAAAACAAAAACACAAAACAAAAAAGGATATGGTGACAGACAGCAGCTATATTTGCGGCCAGCACAGCATAACCTATAGATGTTGAATCACTATGCCGTCCACCTGAAACGAATGCAACCTTGTGTGTCAACTACAGTCAACAATTTTTTTCCAATGGATGAGGAACACCTTAAGGGCAAGCAGCAAGACATCGAAGACATTTGATTCAGGGAGAAACGCTTCCCACGTGACACCAGGTGGTGCCGCTCAAAGGCCCTCTGGCCCAGACCAGCCCCTGGGGAACAGTTCTCTAAGTTCTAGAGGAGACACAGGGAAAGGTTACAGAGCAGCATAAAAGGGCGATGCTAGAAAAGCCAGGTGAAGCAGAAGCCACTTCGCAGCCTGGCTGTTTAAGAATGGCGGTAAGTGTGCTAATGTCCAGACAGCGGCTCCAAACAAAGGGGCATCCGACTCAGAGGGTGGACACCAGCAGGGCAAGAGCTGTATGACTGGCAGAGAGGGACAGACACCTGGGGGAAAAAATAAGGGGTCCACAGGGTACAACGCTGGCTGGTGACCCCTGTTGAAATATTCCTGGGATTCTTAACTATGTCTTGATCCCCACGGGTTTCCACCGTCTATCTCCCCTCACAACAAGACTGATGGAATTAGGGGGACAAGGAGGACTACCCCCACAGCTAAAGCTGGATGTGTCTCTCAGATAGACTTTCTGCAACTATGGGTTAAAAGTCCAGCTTCCAACGTGTTAAGTAAGCCATGCTCAGAAACTCATGCCGATGAAGAATACATGTGTCGGGTGTGAAGTCTCTGGAAGTTCATGGTACCAGGTATTCAGACCCGTCTTGGGAAGGGCTAAGGAAGGGATGTTAGGGGTTATTCCAAGAGCCTAATACATCTGTGCTCATCAAAAGGCTCCCGACAACTTCATTTTCCGTGTATGCAAACAATACCAAAAAAGGCTTTCATAATATTGGCTTGCCTGAAACTCCGAAATATTTCAAAGACATTGTAGTGAAACCTGGCCACACTCACTGCCATTGGCACCAGAGTGTCTTTAAGGTTCAAGTCTAAGTCAGTAAACAGATAGCTGAGACTTAATACTTTGTCTTACTTCGAGCCTGCCAATTCAGAAAGCAAATACTCTTGAAAGCAAGTATTTAACTGACAACTAAACCAAACACAGTGGAGAATTTTTAAGTGGTTAATTAAAAGACTGAACAAGGCACAGTCCGTACTTCATTTTTCAAAGACACGGATCTCTTCAAAACCTAACCTACGTCTAGTTCAGAGAATTAACAAATCAAACAGGATCTCACCTGATCAGCCTTCTGATAGTTGAGTATTCCTACATTTTCAATATCCAAATATAGTCAGTGATGCAGTAAGCCTGAAGACTGAACATTTATTTGCAGGAATTGCAGGAAATGATGGCTAATGCAGCCCCTACTGCCCATGAGAAGCAATTTGGGGGGAAGAAATTCAATGGAGTTATGATTCAGTTGCTGTTCAAAACTTAAAAATTACAAAAAAATTTAAATGTGATCACTATTCAGTGAAACATATACCTCAAAATCTTTTTGTTTTAAGCCTAATATACAACTACGATATGAATACAAATGCAATTTAAAATTAAAAAAAAATCCTACAGCTTACAAAATACTATAACAATATGCTTGAAACTGGTCGTTCAAAGTATGATTTACAAAGGCATCTTTTCCTATAGAGTCATTTTTTTTTTTTTTTTTTTT